ACAAAATGATGTAAAAATAAACTATTATATTATTAAAAAATTAAAGAAGATTCAAATGATAAAAAACGAAAAAGGAATCACTTTTCTGGAGCTGAGAGATTTTAAAAACTTTGATCTAGAGATCCCTAAGACTCAGAGATTCCATGAGGTCAAAAAATATTTAAAAAAAAAAAGTTAAGGTGTAACTTGACTTTTTGCTGTTAGTGTACTCAGTGTGTAGTGGGGTTTCCCAGAGGGTCCATGACATGATGTCATTTATCTGGAGGCTAAAGAAATATTTGCTTGTGTATTCTACATTTAAACAATTTTTATTCACCACTTCTAAAATGATAAATATAGATATAAAATTCATAAACAAAAGCTTCCTAAGGTACTTCAGTAATTTTTAAGAGTATAAACAGGCCCTGTCACCAAAATGGCACCTTGTTCTACAGAGTACAGAAGGTCATGGTTCCATATCAATTAGTGGTAGAACGCATAAATGAATGCTTAAGTTACCTCAAACTGTTCAAGAATTCTGCACGACCTGTTGGAAAATGGATTCAGAATGTTTTGACTAATATCATTTAAAAATATTTTTGAGTATGCATATACTCAAAATGTGATTTAAAATCACTTGATTTAAAAAATCACAAACTATAGAAATTAAAAATCACAAACTATGGAAATTTTAAAGCAGTGAACACTATTTTTAAATATTTTTATTATTTGTAAAACATTTTTTGCTCTCATTTAAAACAATAACAAAACTGGTGCATGTGCTTCATTAATTTTTTTAAAATATCATTGCCTATCACTTTGTGATAAGCCATTCCACAGTCTGATTTTACTTTTACTTTATTGTAATCCTTGATCTTAGTGTCAGAGCCCAAAAAGATATGCAGAAGATAGAAAAAATACAGGGTGGAAATAACACTGTCTATGCCTCCTTGCTCATGTTTAATTACCTTGTACATCCAGCTATCAGGTATACAAAGATTTTTGTTTAAACTCAGCTAATAGATTCCAGTCTCTTTTTATTCTAACAGTTGGGGAAGGTGAGTTCAAAATCCTTCAAGTTCTCAAATTTTAAACAGATTTGAAAATCTGGTTTCCAAGTCTAAGTGTACAGTTAAGTTTAAAGGTTGGGTGGATACATTGGTTTGGGGAATAAAAACACACAACAAGGGGTAAGTAAAAAGTAATTAGTCTCAATATGCAGGAAGTAAATGAGTGAAGGATTCCACCATCACTTCTCTGATTTGAACAACTCAGCGTGACCCCCTCATGCTGACAAAGGGGGTTAACAGGTGTTGACACATTTATCAAATACTAGCAAAAGGAACTCAGAAGCTTCCTGTTTTCTTCTGTTTTAAAAAAGATTTATTTATTTATGCATACAGAACTGGGATACAGGCCAGAGGTGCAGGGGTGGTGAGAGGATTCACCAGAGACAGAGTGGGGAGCAGAACAGGCAGATCAATGAAGTGCACTGCTGAGGGGAGCAGGGGGCAGGTCAGCAGAGGTCTGCTGCGCCATGTGGGTCACCTCTGGGGCTGAGGATCCACCTTGTACTGAAGCGGTGTGGCTAGCTTGCAGTGCTGCCCTTTACCTGTTACACCAACAGGGAGGGCCCTCCTGTTGGCTTCTCGTATCTCATTGGTTCCGTGCATCCAGTGTTGGGAGCAATAGAAAGTCATCAGTGAGCTTTAGTGGGGGAAGTACAGACTTAGTTAAGATCTTTGATCACTAGAAAACACAAGAGAGTGCGCGAGTCAGAGAAGACTCGAGGCAAAAGAAGGCAGGTGTGGGCTGCACCAGCTGGAGAGAGGGAAAAGAATGGCTTCGAGAGACTTTTTGAAGGCACACTCATGGAGTCTGGATACAGGGAGACGGGAAAATCCAGAGGTGCTTGGAGGAGAATAATCCCTTCTCTGTACAGGGAGGGAAGAGGGCAAATTTGGATGTGATGAGCATTTACCTCTTTCGGTATGAAAGTGATGTCCTGGGCCCTCCCTGGTGGCGCAGCGGGTTAAAGCACAGCACTGAGAAGCTTAAGCCACTTCCGCATGAGTTCGATTCCCGCCTGCCCTGGAGGCGACCACATGGCGTGGCAGACCTCTCCTGACCCGCCCGCTGCTCCCCTCAGCAGTGTATTTCGTCGATCTGCCTGTTCTTCTCCCCGCTCTGTCTCTGGTGAATCCTCTCACCCTCTGCATCTCTGGCCTGTACCCCAGTTTTGAACGAAAAATAAATTTTTAAAAAAAAAAAAGAAAGAAAGTGATGTCCTGCAGCATTGCGAGGGAAGCTAAAGCAAAGTTCTCTCAAAGTCTTATTTTTCAGCAGTCTCATATCTTTTTGGAAAACCATTTATTTCTGTGAGATGCCAAATAAAAACACTTCAGTAAAAAACAATGTTCATTCCCTAACAGAAATCCGGCATGTACTTTATGGGGGCCACAGGACCCAGGTGTTTATCCTTGACACCCCATCAGTCTGGCTATTTAAGTCCTCATCGTCCTCCAAACCAACCCTATTTCCTTGTCTGTGTGCCAGTCTACTGAGTCAGGAGTAATTTACTAATTGAAGTCACTTCCTCCTTTAGGAATCTTGATGACTTATGGTCAAATGCTTGTGTTCATCATGCTGGTCAATTAGAATATTTAATGCTGGGTGAGAGATGCCAGGAAGAATAGAAAAAAAAATCACTTTGAGATTCCACTGGGCAAACATTTATATTGTTCCTGTACCACCTGTGAAGAGTCTTGCCTATTTGAACCAGATTCTTTTAAGTAATGCATAGGAAAATAAGTTAAATGATAGTGGGAGGAAACCAAGCAAAATCTACAGGATAACCTAACAAATCAGTATCACACACACACACACACACACACACACACACACACACAACCCTATCAATCAAGAACAATAGGACTCTGTGTGGATAGTTGATGATCTGAGAAATCAGAATAATTAGGATTGGATATTAAAAGTAATTTAGCTGGGCCCTCCCTGGTGGCGCAGCGGGTTAAAGCACAGCACTGAGAATCTAAGGCCGCTTCCGCGTGAGTTCGATTCCCGCCTGCCCCGGAGGAGATCCACATGGTGTGGCGGACCTCTCCTGAACCGCCCGCTGCTCCGTTCAGCGGTGTACTTCCTTGATTTGCCTGTTCTGTTCCCCACTCTGTCTCTGGTGAAGCCTCTCGCTGCCCCTGAGCCTCTGGCCTGTACCCCAATTCTGTATGCACAAATAAATAAATCTTTAAAAAAAAAAAGTAATTTAGCTGGCAGTAATACGGTGGTTACATAAAAAGTACACATTCTTACCAGAGATGCACAATGAGGTAGTTGTGGTGTGATTACACAGCAGCTGGGATTTGCTTCCATGTAGGAAGAAATTTGGAACAAATTTGGCAAAAATGTTGATAATTGCTGAAATTGTATAATGGCCAGATGGGGGCGATTGCACTGTTTTCTACTTTCTTGTTAAATTTTTCTATAATAAAAAAATTATATATTTAAAAATCAAGAGTTCTAAAATCTGGCTGATGAGCAAAATCTGCTGTAGCTTGGAAAAAAAAGATTCTGGGGGCTGCACAGTTGTCTGGCATCAATCCTCTGGGTACATCTGTGTGGTAGCAGGTGAGGAGGGAGGTGATGGGGAGAAGGGGGAGAAGGGAAAGAGAGGGGGAGGGGAAAGAGAGGGGGAGAATTTCCAGGACATGGGTGCCCAATCCTGTGGCCATCACAGCTCCCTCTTTAGGGAGCTGACTCCTTCCTCCCACTATCACCCCTCCCCTCATTTTTCCTTGTCTTGCTTTTACTCAGGGGGAGTAAAATAGCAAAGTATTAGCATCTCACTGGAACAGGCAGGCCATCCCCACTGCCACCGGGGGCTTGGTTCCCTCACCCTTCAGACACTCAGCTTTCATGCTGTTATTTTCACAATGTCCTCTCACTACCCCTGGATGGGAGGTGTGTCAACTGTCAGGTCGACAACCAAATATGGCTGTTTGAGAAATGTGGTCTTAATATTTAGATTTTTTTCCCCATTCACTCTTTGTAAATAGAAATCATTAAAATGTATTCTTAAATAATTTATTTAATATTGACTTTTGTGAAGTTACACTTATTTTAGGAAAACTTGAAGAATTTCAACAGAAGGTAAACAGTATTCTATAAGGAACAACTAAATGTGCAAATTTCAAACACTCTAAAGTATAAATAATTCAACGTTTTCACATTAAGAATAAAAATATTTATAAACACAAAATAGTAAGATACAAACTTTAAGAAAACTAGATGAAAACACTGAAGTTTATTTGAAGTTTTTAGAGAGGAATCATAAAGATGGATGACCGGAAAAAGGACTCAAGTCACCATGAGTAGGAACATGTTGACTTATAATACGGTAAAGCTGATGGACTTACAGATGGCAAATACCTTCAGGTCCTGAGTCCAGACCAAAAATGGCAGCCTTTCCCTCTGGGTCTCTCCTCCCCTCCTTTATTCCCGGGCCATCCCCACCTCAACCCCCCCAGGAAAAAAAATGACCGTCACACAAAGCATAGAGAGAAACTACAGGCCAAGGACAGGAATGAATTTTCTCACACTTCTGGTGACAGGGTTTTGTGCATCCCAGTGCCACATGCCGTGAACACTGTGCACTCCCCAGCACCCCAGGACACCACATCAGTGCAGCAAGACAGCAAGTAAAACTGTGACAAAAGCTACATCTTTCTCTGTGACCTCCCATCTCACCCCTGCTCCTTCCCAGTTTATCTCTAAGGAGGTAGGATACTCAGAGGAGTTTAAATATCGCAGAGAACAGTTTTTATTAATGGCCACAAGTGGCCCTGGCCAAAGTTTCATTGAGAAGATGCATGAGATATTAATAACTCTACTAGTGATGAAATTTCTTCTTGCCTAAGGAAGGCAAGCAAAGGCCACCGAGAGGCAGGTTCTCCTACTGGTAGGGACTCCCTTGGTTCCATAACATCATCCAAAGTAATTATGTTGTCCCAAGAAGATGCTACAATGTTTTCCTCAGAGCAGGAGAAACATCTTCATTTAAATATATAACATTTAGGTTTGTAATACAATAAATAAAGTTCACATGACACAACAGAATGCTCTTTTTAACAAGGCAATTGGCTGAGTTCATAAAAGCTATGTATAAAGGCGTTGCCCAACAACAACCAGAAAATAGGTCATTATTATTATTGTTCTTCTCCTGGAACCTCTAGGGCAGCGTTTCAACATCATAAAAAAATTCCCTCATACATAAGGGGTATAGGATTATATGTACACATATTTATGCGCACCTCAGTCCAAGCTAACCTCTTTAGAAGTGAAGACAGTGATAACCAAGAGTCACACGTCTTCCCATTAAAATATCTTGATTTTTAAAAGGTGCATATTGTGAAGAGCAGCTTGTTTCCTTTATGAGGTCTCAGCAGCCTCAGAATCACAGTGAGTGGATGGTTCTGTTTCTGCCATGTCCGTGGGAAAGGAATCAGGCAGGTTGGGGAAAACCACTAACTTTTGACACTCTGAAGAGGTCCATTTTCCCTGAGCTTCCAAGCTTCTGGCAGCAGACCGAGGATGCAGCATCACCTCTGAGAAACACGGAGGATGGCAGGTGGAAGGGTTCTGGGTTTCCCAGCCCACCTGACAGGCGTGTCTTCCCCCTCTACTCAAAGGATGGTGAGGCAGTCATGGCGGGCACACTGTCCGTGAAGTTCCCAGCCTCCTGCTTGCTGGGAGAGGAGGGAGCACTGGCTATCGGCTGACACCATCCACTGCCAGTCTCAAGCTTTGCTCTCAGGCCACTCGGGACTCTTCCCAGGTCACCACATTCAGGGTCGTGCTGAAGAGCTCATCCTTTCCTCCCCTGCTCAAAGACACCCTCCAGCCCCACGGTGGCATCAGACAGCGTGTTCGAGTATAGCACCACGTAGGCTAACGCCTCCAGGCCCCCTTCACTAAGGGCTGGCCCACCCGTTAGCCGTACATCTGCTTGAACTGAAAGCACTCGTTGCAGTAGCCGTTACACTTGGCGTTGCCGAAGTGGTCGCAGGCAGGGGCCCGGCACCGCTGTTTGGGAGGCTCTTCAGCAGGGACCGGCTCACCCCGGTGGCTCCCTGGGCCCACCCGCTGGCCGAGATGCTGGCACTCCATGCAGAGTTCCTCGTTGCGGCAAGCCAGGATGTTCTTGCAGGAGGCCCGGGCACACTTGGGCCTAGGGGTATTCTGTGTGGTCCGAGGCATTTCTCTGCGCTGGCTGGATCGCTAAGTGGAAAAAGGAAGAGGGATTAGTGATGATTGTCAGAGCACAGTGTCATCTCATCTGATAGCATGAAGTCTACAAGCAGCTGGGTGGGTGAAGAATACCTGCCTGACCAAGGGCAGGGGAGTTCCAGGGGCCTGCTAGGAACACGGGCTCAGCAAGGACTTTCTCCCAAACCCAGTAAAAGCAGCCAAGGCCTGGGGGAGGCCCAGTGGAATCACCCACCCTACCACAGCCCTGCAAACGCTGGCCCAGCTTGCCTCTGTTGTGTTACTGATGAAACAGGCGCCCCACCATTCTGTTACTGTGAGAGAGGCAACTATGAGCCAAAGTTTGCTGTTCTTTACATGTCATCAAGTGGAGGCACCTGAGATGCTCTGCCTTCTCCTTCTCGTGATACAGGACTATTTAAGAAAATAGGTTGGCCACTTAGTTGTGTCTGCTTGTACCACACATCCAAGAAGTCTCTGATAGTTAAAAGGTTTTACTCTCTGGCTGATTTCATTTGCCTTTTGAAACTAATTCCCGAGTATCCCCAGGCTGTGAAAAGCAATAGAAGCTATTAACTATCACCCCTGGAGACTACAGTGACTTCCACAGGTTCTTCCCCAGAACTGGGCAGGGAGGAAAGTCTGCTGGTCACTATTAGAAACTGCTCCAGCACAGAGCTGCCCACAGGAGGGGGGATATTCCTCAAAATGCCTCACCAGTTGGTCTTCAGGCCTTTTTGCTTCGTGAAGTCTCTGATTCTGAACCTCAATGAAACATTTCTGACAGTATCCTTCAAACACGGTGCTTCCCAGGGTGCCACACTCCCTCCCCAGGCAGGGGATGAAGCTCGGGAACCTGGGGGCTGTGGAACCGGCTGTCCCGGAGGCACTCACAAAGCCTAGAAGAGAGCAGATGTGAGTCAGTCTCAACGGAGGGCCCCCAAGGAGCTGCAGGCGGTGGGTCAGAGGAGAAAACCAGACTCCAGCCACGGATTAGGCCGGTCTTCACTCTTCACATATATGACGGGTTGGTCATAAACCCAGCAAAGTATAAAACAGGAAGACTATTACTGAGACATCTCTGGCACAAATCTCTCTCCCTGGCAAATACCATGCTGGACCATCACAGTAACAGAACAGGCACAAAGTGCCTGTCCTTGTGCATTAGAGATTTCCGGAACTTAAATGTTTTCCTGCACTGGCCAGAAAGACATCCCTTTCTCCAGCTACAGGTCTCCAGACTTTGAGTCACAGAAGCCTACTACAAACTCACCGGGATTAATGCCAGACTTTCTGGGGAAGAACTCCCATGAATTCAGTCTACATGGGTGTTGGGATGTGCTATTTTGTGCTCTTTGCTGCCACGTGTGTCTGGCACAGACACAGTCACCACACCTCTGTGCAAATCAAATCACATCACATCCTACAGACTGCCCAGAGGGGCTCCTTTCCTGAAATTTAGGGAGAAAAAAACCCCTCTTTACAGGGGAATTTTGAAACAGAGGTTAGGAAATCAAGTGTTCACTCACGTTTATTTTCTCTGTATTCGATGAAACACAGTGTGCAGAAGCCCTTGTTTTCTGGAGTCCCAAAATACATGCAGCCGGCTTTTCTGCACTTGCTCGTCCCTGCCGGGTCCCCCGGAGTCCGTGCGGACTGAGCGAGGCAGCCAGAGGAGGCCTCGTTGCCAGTTCTGTGGTGAGAATGTGGGGCAGGGCTCTGGATGAGCTGGGAGGGGTCCGACTTGGACCGCTGGTGGCAGGAGGGAGGGTTGCTGGAGCTGAGGGTGGAGGAGGGCTCGGCCTGAGTCCTTTTGAAACAAGTACTGCAGATCCCATTAAACGTCCTGGTGGCGTCCTGGAGGCAGGCTTGGCACTTACTGGGGTTGAGCTGCCGGCTGTTGTGGCAGCGCTCACAGAATCCATTGTGCTGCACGTTCAGCGTGAAGGGACAGCCGGGGCTCCTGCACTTCATGGCTGTGGTCTCGCTGAACAGGAAAAGGCTGGGGGCAGTTGGTGGGGCCGAATGAGGCCCCCCAGTGGGCTCCTTGGGGCTCCAGGCCACGGGCTCGTAGGCCTCCCCCCGAGCAGCCCCCAGTGCCAAGCCAGGCAGCACCTCCGGGGCCGTCTTGGCGTTCGCCTTTGTGGGTTTGTTTGGGGTCTTTTTCCTTCTCTCTGAGCACTCGTGACACAAAGGCTGGGTGTTCACTGACATGAAGAAAGGGCAGTTGGGCGTCTCACATTTTACGTCCATGAGGGAAAGCTGGGGAACGGAGGGTTCCAAAGGGTTGGGAGCGTGCGTCTCTCTCCGCCCCTGTTCGTTGTTTTCCTGCCACTTCTTGTACTCGTGCTGGACAAGTTCAAAGTAGTCATCTACCAGGTTTATTTCTTTCGGTAAGTTAGCTTCATCCAACCTAAAGAGCAAAAGGAAAAACATGAGACTACAGACACAGCCACCCACCCCCATGGTTTCAGATCACCAGACAAATTTTAGAATGCGGATCATGCAATCACTTTAGAACCAATCACTGAGGTCAGGCCTAGGATATAGAGTTTGCAGCATATATAACATAGGTCAATACATTTGCTTACATGTTTTAGATGAAAATAATGTAAGTTCATCTGCTAAGAAAACTTAGGATTTCGGATATCCCAGTCTCACTGAATCCACCTTGATCTTCCTCCCGATTCTAGAAAATTCTAAAGAAAAGACTACTCTTCTAATTTCTCAGAGATCCAATTTCTAGTTAAAGAGTGCTCAGGGTGTTCACTGGGGCTAGAGTACTTTGTGGTATAAACTATGTTGGAACGTTGTGTTCTGCATTTTGCTGTTTTTAATTTCCAATTTGTGCCTGGTCTCTGGGATCAATAACTACCACCTGTGGTGACTACGAGTCAGAGGCACTCAAAGGTGCTATTTACTTTGAATGCTGTGTAATTTATTGCTCTCCACTTTGAGAAACGGATTCTCTTGTACCTTTCTGGTGCATGCCAAGTTGTAAGAAACAGCCATCTCTTTAACATAAAGCCAGTGTCTAAAATTGAGACATTTGTGTGAACTGTGCTGAGTCTCTCCTTCCCTTTCCAGGTGGCCACACTCTGTGACTGCCACACAAACACCTTCTCCAATCAACCTGTGTCTGGCATGTCCATCTTTACCAAGAAGCCAGGAAAAAGGCTTATGTCCAAGAATCTGGTCTAGGACCAGGGCAATTAAAAAAACAAAAACCATAGAAACAGACTCTCCTAGTTGTGACCATACTTTCTGAAAGCTATCATGCTGACTCTCAGCACATGGATGTGCAGGAAATTCCTCCCAGATGAAACGCTTGCTGCCACTCACAGGCGGAGTCAGTGCTGGTTAAAGAAAAGCCTCTCAAACGTGTGAAAGAGCCTCCGAAACCGGTTCAGATCAGAGGGAACTGGCTTCTTGATAGCTCTGCTGTGGCAATAGCTCATGTGGCTGAAGTCAAAACAGTGAAAGATGGCAAAGGATAGAGCTAAAAATAAACTGCTTACTTTGCAGCATTGATCAGATGAGTGGTGCCGTGTTCCCAGCCTTGGACGGGGATTTCTATCACCATCAAATACTCCTTTAAGAGTTTGTCCTTCAGCTCATTCTCAGGATCTGTCAGAAAGTGAACTTTTAAGTCTTCAAATCGCCCTCGGTCTCTGTTAACGAGTGGAACAGCTCGGATTTCTGAGGGAAAAAAATAACAAATAAGTAAGCAAAATATTCTTCTAATAAAAAATAATGTGTAAGGCCATATATATAATGATTAACTTTTGAAAACACGGAAAGAATACAATTAAAGAATGGAGGTGTCTTGTTTAGCCATAGCCAAGATCCAATGGGGTGAGAGCTGCACAGAGCTGGAACACCATTTCCAGCGAGCCCTGAGACTATTCAGAGCAGCCAGAGGCAGCAGCTCTTGTAATTACATCCACACAGTTCAGAATCAAACCAAAATGAGGATGAACACTGACTGCTGATAACAAGCTCTGGATGCTCTGGCAAGTTATACCTTCTCTGTGCTTCCACTGCTCATATGTAAAATAAGGCTGCTCACGATTATGGTGCCCATAAGAATGAAATAACATACTAAACAATCAGCACCAAGCCTCCTGCACATTGAACTATTACAATATGAGCTAATCTGACATTTACCTGCTCTGTGACAGGTATTGTATTAAGGGCTTGATGTGTCTTCATTTGTCATATATAATGCGAAGAGTATGATCTATATAATACATGTATATATTATCTGTACACACACACACACACACATTTCTCCTCCTACTCACAACCAGTGGGCTGAAAGCACTTTCCAAGCCATAAAAGATAGGAGGGTTGCTATCTATTACTAGTAAATGACAGGATACTATATATGTAAGCGAAAAGAATATACTTATGTCAGACTATTTTAATAAGAAGCAAAAGAGCAGACTGTGATGCTTAGTGTGAGCCGGGTAGACAAGCAGTTAACAAAAGGCACAGCTGTGAATTGGTTTTCAGTTTTCTCACCAGGGCCGCTGTCCTTCAGGGTCACCAGGGGCACAAAGTGTTGACTGTCGTAGCCGAGGACGATGGGGTATCTGTAGCACACCTGAGCAGGCCAGTGGAGAGGCAGGTAAATCCCGCCCACCTTCAATGGAGCGAAATTTGAACCCGATTCCAAACTTCTCAGCATTTTGTCTGTTGAAGGCAAGAGAAATAATAAATAAGATCCTCAGGTGACTTGGATCAAATTCCATTTAGTTACAATGCCTGCAACTTTAGCAACATGGGTTTTTCCTACAAGTTTAACATTAACTTTGAAAGGCCTTTAAATACAAATATCTCACCTGAAATGACAATAATTGGCCTTCTGAGGATGTTGCAAAGGACAAATATATGTATTTCTTCCAGGGAATTATACTGAAGTCCAGTTCGGGCTACAGGGGTCTCCGTGGATGCCATCTTGATAAGGTTTTCCCATTCATCAGTCCAATTCTAAGGAGAAGAGAAGCGGAAAAAGGACATTGAATGCATTCTGACTTTGCTCTAATTATTCATTTCTATAACTCAGCTTATTTCCCCCCTTTCTTGAAATCATCATTCAAATGATCACCCTGTTTTCCCCATCTGGGTTTTCTTCCTTTACTTTTTTCCACCACAAGGCAAAGTTAAAAGTGGGGGAGGGTGGGGACAGCACCTGCTTTCAGAAAAATCCCTGATGAGGCATGATATCGATGCCCCGCTTCCAAATGCACACAAAAATTCCAAATGTGTGACAGATCTCTGGGGTGGCTCATGACTGAGACTGACTGGCTGGCCCAGTAGTGCACATGATGAACAAGTGAACTGAAAAACAGCCAAACACCACAGGAAAGGCCCTCGTCAGAGCTCTTCTGCTAAAACAAAGAGCTCCCCAGCTGGGACCTACTACCCTGAAGCTTCCCAGCAGACAAAAGCCTTGGCTTCACCCCACAGGTTTCTGGTGTTTCTGTTGACTAGCTGTGCTTAGCCAAGTTCACGTGATCTAACACATGAGATGCTCCGTAGAAGCAGCAGTCATCCTCCAGCACCCTTTCCTCATGGTGGAGCTGTCAATAGGGGCTTAATGGGGAAACAATACATACCCGGGTATCATAGCAAAGCCCCGTTTCTACGAATTCCTGAGACTTGAGAGACTCCAGTTGCCAGCGGAATTTGAAATTGCGCGTGTCTGTCTCCTTGAGAGTGCTGAAAAGTGCCTTCCTCAGGACCAGGTCTGTGTCCTGAACACCCCACATGTACTGAGAAGCTGCATGCATGAGGCAGTTTCCATCTCCTGAGGGCAGAGGGAAGCAAATTTAAGTGAATCACAGCTAAGTGATCAAGCAAAGGTTTTCACAGAGTACACCAGTCCTACTGCTATTTAGGGGACCCAATAAGGCATGCAAAAAATGCTAACGGTTAATGTCTTAGTCCAAGAGCCAAGAATAACATTTCCCAAGGTGAAGACAGCTTTAAGGGCATATAACAACAACAACAACAACAATAATAATAATAATAAATAATCCATTTCCATCTTATTTTTAATAAATAAGATCAACAGGGCTCAGAGAATAAACAGGGCACTGTGGCTCCACCCTGCCTCTGGTAACTAAGTCTAGGTAACCTTGGGGCAAAGTCTCAACCTCTCTGAGTAATTTTCCTTTGTGAAGTGAGGACACTGGATTATGACCTCTGAAATTCAGCCCTGTCTAACGTTCCTCGATGTTCTCGCCCAGAAGCTGGCGCCACTGCTTGCTGAATCTAAAGGCAGCAGGCAGGCGAGGCAACAGGCACCCACCAGGAAGCCAGTGAGGCTCTGTGTACTAGACAGGGATGGTCGGTATGACTCAGTGCAAATGACCTGACCATTCCACTGTAGCCTTTGGGGCCTGGGAGTTTCCTCTCCTGGTTTGTGAAGTGGGATTGAGATCACCCGATTACCTACCACCCGCCCACCCACCAACACCCCCCAGAAATGCTTTATGTCAACCTGCTTGATAGCAATTAGAGTCCCTTTTAAGACTCAAGGGACCTTGGACATCTAAGTTTGGCAACAGTTCAGAATTCAGAGCATTTTAAGAATTCTGCATACAAGAATTAATTTTTAGTTCATTAATGTATTATTTCCACAGGTTAAAGTCACCCTTCAAGAGACTGCATTTTTTTCCATCCTCTAAACAATAAATTTTGGGAAGGGGAAGTTTAACATAAGAAAAGTTAATCCCTTCATTTCCTTTGCCAAGAAGACAATTGTTCTTCTCAGGAAAGGTTCAATTTTTGGTCTGCTGGTTAGCCTCCTGGGCTGTGAATCCAGCAATCTCACACCACTCTGTCAGCAGGGTAATAAAGCCTTTTGAAATGTTCTACAATTGTAGCTTTAGTCAAACTGCACAAATAAAAACAAAACAAAGAAAACCTTCCAAAATATTTCCAAAGCTAGTGCCCCATCAATTTATACATGTAGATAAACAAGCTAATTAAGTACTCAAACAAATGAACAAAAAAGATCACTCCAGCCTGGTGTCTTGGCAGAAATGTGGCAATGATTACATTCTGTTGAAATTTCCCCTTTGCAAAATCTAGAGCAAAGATAAGGCTTTTTTTTCTTCTTCTTGCGCTTACTTTCAGTTCTTTATTGAGATGCACCAGTACAAAATTCCCTAAGTAACATCTGGAATTCCCCAGTGCTAAGTTATTTGACTAGCAATTGAGCAACAGTATTGTACTTTTTGTTCTGGTGTGTAGACATTTAAACTGCGAAGTGCACCCTGGACTTTCCAAGTGGGTGTGGCCAGGGTGAGCTGGAATAGGGCTACTCATTATACAAGTGAAATCGCTGCAGCCAATAGACGCTGGAATTTTTCACATGAAGTTTCAATTTTATGCCACCTACTCCCTTCCTCATTCACAGCAGTCTCATATCCTCAAATGCAAACTTGTGAATCACCCCCTCCCCAAACAGACCACTGACTGTAGAACCCTCCTATTGGGGAAGGTTCAAGAAAAAAAAAATGCTCATAAATATCAAAGAGGAAATGTTTTTCCCCTCCACTAAATAGCATGTCTTCCTTTTCCAGATTTTTATGGAATTTTCTTGACAGTGGGGAAGTAAAAAAAATTCTGAGCCTAAAAAATCCCTGTTTCCCAGAGAATGTTACCAATGCACTTGCCTCTCAAGTTTTGTTTATAGCATGACTCCTTGACAATTTAAATGACATATCTTTGCAGAGCAAGTAATTGCCACTTATATTTCTTTTTTTTTCTTAAGGAATTGAGCTAGTTAAACATAACATTTCATCTAATATTCATTTCTGTAATAACAATAATAATAATAATAATAAATAAAGCTTTCTTCAAGCTACCGCATTTCCAAAGTGGCAAACTCTTCCAGGCAACTACAAAATTCTACTTGTAACTCTCCCTGACTTCTCATTTTTTTTTGGTAACAAAATGGGAGAGAGTTAAAAACCACAAACTGTCAGGAATATAAACTCCTTGATGATAACTTAACATAATTACCTACTTCTAGGCATCACTTGATTTAATGCCAAGAACAATATAAACACCAGCTATCCCCAGCTTTTTGTGTTTCTAAGAATTTGAGTTTCAAAAATAAAAGATGTTGATTTGATGTGATGCACAAGGCACCCTAGAATAAAAATAATACAAACAAAACGTGTCCTCCTACTCACCCAATCACTTCAGGTTACCTTAGTCAAAGATGACCAAGGTTAATGTATACCAATTAGGTTAATTAATTTAATGTTCTTATCATCTCATTGTCGACAAAGATTTTTTGCACTTGGCTGTATTATTTTGGCTGGGAAAGTTTCGGACTGTCACTGACCTGATATGCCTTGAAGCCCTGAATTGATCTTGGTCAGCTATATATGCATAATTCACTATGTCTATAGAGGACAATTTTGTATCTGCATGAAATAGTATGTTTGAGTGTTTCGATGCTGTACATACTCTTGCTCAGAGGAAACAATTCAAAACAAAACAGTTAAGCTTAGAACAGGAAATAACTACTAGTGGTAAAGAGCTATTGAGCAGATGGCACAGAGTGCAAGTAGGAATCCCTAAAACAATGAAGTGGGGGGAGGGGGTATAAAAAACTCTGTTTAAAACCTCAAACATTTTCCTAGTTCACACCATCCGACCATAGGTAACAGAACCTAGAAGGGAGACAACAGGAGCCTGTCTCCTTAATGACCACTCACTGGTTAGCCCATAAACCGCTACCAAATCAAGAAGCCATCACCTGGTAATAGTACTTCATGCTGCGCTTTATTTGGAAATTAAAGCCTTTCATTTATCTACTGTGGAAGCCCTTTTAATAGTTCCATTATTGACTAGGGAAGGGTATTTTACATATGATCTAGCAGCTACAAGAACAACACACATAAATGAGCCACAGGGAGCAAGCTGTTCACAAGTAAGGTCGCTAAGTCTCAGCGCACACAGCTCTCTACTATGCACGACTCGAAAAAGACTCATTAAAATAATTCTCGAAATAAGCTTGTTTTGATCACATGAGTTCCTCTACTAAGGTGTCTAGGCTTCAAGGGATTAAGTTTGGGCTCCGGCTATTAAAAGGGAATGAAGGGAGCAGCTCTCAGCAGATGCATCTTACCATTGGTTTTCAGGGCCACAAGCTTCCTGACTTCCCGGCACCAGTTGAGCTTCTTCTGATTTTCCAGGGAGGCCTGGATGTTTCTGTCGATCAAAGCTTTGTGGATGATCTCCCTAAACTGTGGACAAAACTGGCAAGTTCTGAACATTTCCAGTGTGTATCGGTGCATGGTTTTAAAATGATGAATGATTCCATTGGTAGGCTTAAAAATATCTTCTGGAGTTCTCTCTCTTATCTTCACAGCTTTCCGCATATTGCTCAGATACAAAGCCTGGGGAAGGAGTTGCTCAGCCATTGTGCTAGAAAACACCTAAAGAGGAGGGAAAAGACCCATTCCGTTAGTCTGCCTTTGATGCTCTTCCTATATACCTGCCTGCAGGAAAGCCCAGCGTTTGATCTTGTCATTACCCTAATCTGTAGGCAAAAGATCTTAGTCATCTCTACTCCCAGGATACTAGCTGGCCTCAAAGATTAACTCACACTGGACTGTTTTAAGTTACATCACTTTTAAAGATTAGTCTAAACAAGAGAAGGAAGGCGACGAGTGGGTACTGAGGAGGAGGGGAATAACCCGTGTTTTCAGTAAAGTTTGTCAGAGAGCCAAGGCTGTCTGTCAGCAACAGGTACTATGCCTGCTAAGTGCTCATCTCAGACCGCTGCCACTCTGGGCAGCCACGGGATGTCAGGAAAGCTGAATGCCAGTTTCAGACACCAAGTAACCGTGGAGCCAAGCACTGCCCTAAGACCACCCACAAGCAGCCCCTGCTCTCTGGCCAAGTCTTGTTTCGTCTCTTTTAAGCACAGCTTTCCTAAACTGGAAGACAGAAAATATCTGGGAAAAGCTCTGTGATTTTTTGCTGTCACATACGCTGCTGATGAGCATATAACCTCTTTTGCCCAAAAAGAAATCTCTAGAGAGTTTACTGATAAGTCATCACAATATTTACTAAAAGCTAGAGCCAAATGTTTTATAACCAACAAAAAAGTCTATTTTGCAGCATGAAGCTTTTAGCACATACTAAATTTTTTTGAAAACTTGCCAATGAACTTTACACCATCAGAATAAAAAGCAGAATAAAAAGAAAAGAACACTAGATTCTCATTTCCAGAAGCAGACATTGGAACTCAGCTGTTCCAACTCAACTGTCAATCAAATTGTATTATCATCTTCCAGATACCAACACTCAGATGCATTTCCCACTGTGTATTTACCTTGAAATCTTCAAGTATAATCAACTAGAGGAAGAAAATGATATCTGGGAAGCAGACAAAGAAAGAAGTTCTAGCTGGGGCAAATGAGAAAGAAGTGAGGCAAAGATAAACACCTGCAGTGCACTTCAACAGGTGGAACCCGACCAGATGGTAACTGACACAGCGTGAGGTCTCTGCACTGTGCTGGAGGAAGGGAGTGTGGAGAGTGTTCTCACCCACTGACCACTACGAGGGAATATCTAGCCATGCATCCTAAATTCCAAGAGAAAGATGGTTCCAGAGCACAAAGATTTTCCTTGGGAAGTTTATAGCAATTGTTTATCCCTCTCCTGCATCATACTATTATCCAGAGAAAGCCTCCAGATGATAAAGAAGTTAAGCCTAAGAGAGAGGGCAAAACCTAGATTCTAGGGAAGCTGCTTCTGTGTGGGCAAGACAATCCTAAAGCTATAGATTAAGGTTGTCTAAATTCTTGTGACCTTTTCAAAGGAGGTAGCTAGGCTAGATGATCCCAAGATCGCTTGAGAGGAATTTTCTGATGGTGGTTTTGGATGGGAATTTTTAATCTGATTGCTAGGTGAGGCCTAGGATAAGTCATTCTTTGGATCAGACAGTAATCTCCCCTTTGACGTCATCCATCCCTGCAGATAGAATTAGGTGAAATTACAATAGAACCACAGTAACATGAACTTGGAGTGAACAGGCACAAGTGCACACACACACTTCTGTGTGGCAGGGTAAAAGTCCCTTTCACAATGCTATTCATTCATTCATTCATCCCCCCATCCTCCAGACAAGCAATGTTTAACCATATTGAGGGCCCAGCACTGTGCTTGATATTAGATGTAAAAATCAAAAGTGACCTTATTCCCATCTGGAAACATGACCATTTTAATCTGTACTGAAGGCCACAGAAGTACAGGTTCTATCCAGGTCCCACGCCATCCACCTGCTGAGCTTCGCTTAGAACCCAGGTATTCCAAAGCCCGTCCTGCTACTGCCATAAACCACACCTGTGGCTATAGTACCTCCAGCTTGCAGATGGAAACAGGCAGTAGAAAGATCTTTTTAAAAGCTAGGTGTTGCCTGTTGTTGCTTTCCGCAACTATTATTCTTGATGGATTCTAAAGATGTTTCAACAGGTCTCAAGCTGTGAGAGCTACAAACCATTTATGGTAAGACATGCATAAGCCAATATTCATTAGTCTGGTGTCAGTTCATTTCACAGTCTGCAAAACTGACTCAAAAGAAATCAAGACTCTCTGCTCCAGGCCCCAATACTCCAACTTCTCCACAATTAAGATTAAATGTTATGATGCATAACTCTAATGTTCTGGAAGCAAAGTCATACAAAATTACCCTTGGCATGTCTTTTACATTCCTGCACCTTGCCGACTTTTTAAAATCAACAAATCCCTTACCACGTTTTGGGAAAATGCCTCGGCAATAATTTAAAACTTGTAGAAAGAGTTGCAGAAATCAAACAAGCATCTTCGATAATGAGAATGGAATAGTAACAGGAAGCTCAATAGTATGGAGACCAGAAGACTTCTCCCAAAATCCAGCCTGGAGACACCTGACCAGACCGACTTTGCAAGGAAGGATCAGAGGCAGGGAGAACAGAGCACAAAGCGGTCTCAAAAAGAGTGGAGCCCCTTCCTTGCTTAATACCACTGCTTTCCTGAGAGGCCAGGTGGCAGGATGTGGGAAGACCCAGGCTGACAAAGACAGTCGACTGTGGGGTACAGGCTGGAGTAGGGGCCTGAAGAGCGCTTTAAACTGGAGCCCCCAAAGGCAGGTCAGCGACTTGCATACTTCTCTTCGATTGCTGCACTTGAAAATGAGGTAGCCTGAACTGCCTACCCATCCCTGCACAGAACGCCAAGTGTCTGCAAGCTGTGCCTGAAAAAGCTGACAGAACAACCCCCCCCCCACCCCCAAGCGGGGCTTTATTGCCCTTGCGACACTCCACCCTCGTTGGACTAGTTCTGCACAAACTGGAAAGAAGCCACAGGGGTTCTGCAAGGTTTACGTGGCCATAAGCATGCACGCTTGATTTCGAGATGGAGCAAAGCACCAACTACCAGAGGACCAGAAGGATCCGGGGGCGACTCCCCACCAACGACGCCAGTTTAAGTTCTTGGCGTTATCTGTAAAGAGCAGCTGGCTGGAGAAATTCAAGGCTGTCACCTCGACATCTGGGGCGACCTCAACTCCCTGCAAGGGCTGCACACGGCTAGCCAACTCCCTTCCAGGACGGCTGCAAAGCCAGTGCCCAACAGACTGGGAATCGATGCCAACTACGCGCCTGCAACTCTGGCCCCTAGGAGTCCGTAGCAGACCCCACGGGGACGCCAGTTACCTGTCTCGGCCTCACGATCTTCTGAAAGCCCAAGCCCGTGTCAGGGTAAACGTGCGCCGCAGACTGGCGTCGGGATCTGCGCCGGGTCGAAGCAGCGCCCCATGGACGCCGGGGCGCTGGGGTCGCTCGCAGGCCGGGTCCGCGGGGGGTGTGGATCTCGCCCGCCGCGGCCGTCACCGGAGCCGCCAGTTCTCCCAGCGGCCTTTCGCGCCGCTCGCCCCCGCGGGCTCCGAGCTCGCTGCACTTGACCCGCGCAAAGGCAACACACTGCCAGTTCGTCTTTCTTCCCTTTCTGTTTAACCGCCCGCGAGTGCTGGGGGATTTCCGTGGGACTTTCCAGACACGTGACGCGACGCCGTACCATCTCTCATTGTGCCACTAGGCGGCGTGGCGCGGGGGGGTGGCAGGGGGGCGACGGCCGGCCCGCCCCGTCCGCGGCGAGAAACTCCTGCGCCCCGCCCCGGGGTGTCCCCGCGTGAGTCACCTGGGCATTTCGGAAGCTGAGCACAACGTCATATCCCTGTGGAAATCGCGGTGATGGGAACTGGAAATGAAATAGGTTCTTTTTCTTAGCCGGTTTTCTGCAGAAATCATCAACTGTGGAGAACAAGAAGGGAAATAATAAAGAAAGAAAACCCTAAAACGCACCCTAGGCGGGCCTGGGACCACAGGACTCCGGGGCTGGTTTAAAAAACTGAGGCTGTGCATGGCACGTGATGAGCTCCTCGGGGAGCACCCTAGTCGCGTCCCCTGCGGGGATTTCAAGAAAAGGCAGCAGCCACAGCCCTGGAGCTTCATCCCCAGCTTTCCCGTTAACCCGGGACCCTACGCTGCTGGGCTGCTGGGCTGCCCCTCTGAGGTGGCATCACACGCTGAAGCCCGGCCTTGAGCATCACCCACCAGTTTAGGTAAAGTAAGGTTGTCTTTACAATGTGCTTGATTTTAGGCTAATTGTTTGCAATATGTCCTGTCATTTAAACCTCAGAAACACGGTACTGTAGAAGAAAGCAAAGCTTATAAACGTGGACCATTTGCTCAAAGTCTGCGCAATCAGAAATTGGTACGATTATGACTGGAACTGGCCTTCCTACTTCAAGCCCCCACTCTGAAGTGTTAACTGTTACAGGGAAGAGAGAGGGGCACCCCAGGATCCCCAAACCTGTCTGCCCTAAATAGATTCTGCCAGTCACTGCATCTAGACAAAACATACAAACCTTTAATGGAAATTAACTTTAATACAATGAGTGTGATATCTTTATGAATATGATGAAGCACCAAAAGTTACCCATCCCTTCCTGGGTAAATGTCCTGCCAAACAGAGTTGGCTCGAAGCAAGGCCCAAAAGCCTGCCACAAGTCTAAAGTACTTTCTGGTATAGATCCATAAATAAGGGTCAGACAAATCTAGGAGGAAACAACAAAATCAAAATCAAGATAAAAGCTGCCATTGTTAACCTCCCCCTGGGTTTCTCACCCATGTCTGGTTTTTGGTCCAGCACCAAAATAAGCAAATGCAGCTCTTCAAGTCTCTCTTCTCCATGCGCCTCTGCCAGATCTTCTTGCTCTCCATTCTGCTTCCTTTCTCTCCCAGTCTCCTCTGTAGCTTTTTCTTCTCCCTATTCAGCTCTACCCTCCCATGGATGAGGTAGGGAACTTGGAACCTCAGTAACAGGTACAGGTTTCATGGACTCTGCCCCCACTCCAGCTACTGGAACGACTAATCCCATCAATACCAAGGAGAAGCACGCTGGTATGTGAAGGTGGAGCTGAGCAGCCAGGTTAGGATAAAACCAGACATGTGGGTTCTGGGGAGTCTCTGGACGTGGTAGTTTGTGGCTGATCATTTGGCTCTTGATCAGTTTTCAGCATGCTGGTGGAATCCAAGTCAGTAGAACTGGTAGGACATTCTAGTTGACTTATATTTCTCTCCCTCTTTCCCTAGGTTATTCCTTTACCTTTCTCCTTGTAAATTAATCCATTATTGAACCTTTTGTGTGTGTCCATAATACGATTGAATCTTAAGTGCGTAGGTGAGGACCCATGGACAGGCAACCAAATTCACATCGAGGTGCCCTGTAACACCTCCACTTTTCCTGAGGTCTACCATGTTACCTAACTATTAAGTTATCAGTTCTTGAGGAAAGACCTTATAGGATTTAAAGTCTCAAGGCTCCTGTTTGGTCCTGGCTCCCAGCCTCAGAAATACATAGCCAAATATGCTGAAGTAGGGGCAGATGTGGGTTTGGCAACCAGACTGGCCTTGGTTCCATCACTGGAAACTTCCCCAGCAAGTTGAGATGGTAGATGTAATCTATACATATGTAAAAGAATATGTGTACTTTTTAACACCTTTTCAGTGCTAGCTTTAAACAATATATATGCAAGACAGATAAGATTTTTATTTGATGGTGAATAAAAAGGAAAGAATGGAAGGGAAAGAGAATGTGCAGGAAAGAGTCCTTATTGTTGCCTTATCTATCCTTGCTAAGGTTAAAAAAATAAAAGGACAGTAACAACAAGACAAAACCCTGGAATCCCCCATTGCTTGCCCTGCAGGTAAGTTTGTAAAGCTTGATTAGATAAAAGGAATCAATAAGGTTGCTATGGGAACTAGTAGGCAAGACCCATCACCTTGACCTTGATCAGCAAAGCTCCAGGAAAAGTGGAGTCAGTCAAGACACTACCCTAACCCAGACATCCTAGCAGATACCTGATTCAAACTGGAATCCCAAGGGCAAATAAAGGAGAGCTTCAAGCCATTCTTCAGACACCCACAATATCCCCTGTCTCCCTCTCCCTGCCCCTCTCAGGGTATTTCAATAAATACACCTTTCCTATTTTCCATTCTGTTTCTTGCGAGTTCTTTCACCCCTGTGCCTCTGGCTATCCCCCTATTTCCCCAAAACAACTCAGGGTGTCACTACTAGCAGCAACAATGACCCTCTCTTTAGGGAGGGAGTTGCTTTAATGCCCAAAGAGTTCCTCTTCTTGCCTGAAAATATGGAAAGCCGGACTCAATAACTCATTCCTCCATGAATTCCAGTTTAATTTTCTGTCAACGATTGACTGAGATACTTGGCAAAGTGATTTAATGTTAGATCATAAATATAAATATGCAGTTCTTCATTTCCATTTCTGTGGAGGCTGTTATTAATGACCAAATATAAACAATGACAAAAGAGCTAAGATGGGTGCTGGTAGGAACCATCCAGTGTCAGATTTAGCAGTAAGCTGTGTGTTAGGTGAAAAAGCTAGTGCTAGTGGGCAGAATGAGAAACCACCCAGGCCCCCAAAACTGCCTGTTCTAAAAGGGCACATCCATTTATGGATATGCCCCAAAATATGTTATCTGCCGCATCAAGACAAAACATACTCTACTGCATAAGACCTTCAATGGAAAGGAACCTTAATACAATTGGTAAAGAAGAGAATAGAAAGAATATAGTTTAAAAGTTTCCATGTGAAATACCCCAAATTACACATAGGTAAAAGCCCAGTCATGTCAGGTGGCCCAAAGCAGGACTCTTGGGACCCAAAAGCCTACCACAGGTCAGGGTGTCTTCTGATGGGGACCCATAGAAAAGGAAAAGAAAGGACCAGACAACTCGGAAGGAAAAAAGCAAAATCAAAGTCAAGCTAAAGGCTGCCATTGTTAGCCTCCCCTAGAGTGGAGCAGAGAACCTGGAACCTCTGCTTCCGTGGATATCACACTGTAAGAGTCCCTGATATTTGGAGGAATGCACACCACTGTGGGATGTCCTTTGAATGCTCCCCCTTTCTCTCCATTCCTCTCAATTCCCTGACTTCAGTTGGAGGTACTTTCTATCCTGCCTCCTTTCCTCCTCCCCATCTTCATAAAGAGAATTTCAACTTTCATTTTTGTGGGGACCTCATTTCTGGGACTCACTAATCTAATTTGTGTTCCTTTTCAAAAATAGATTACAATGTGTCTTTATGTTATAATTCTCGGGAAGCATTCTTATTGAACCAGAACTTCCTAGAGCTTACTGGTAGAAATTCCAAGCACCTCAGGCAGAGGAGAAGACTCTATATTGCCTGCCATGAGTCGAAGAATCCATGGTTGTAAGAGACATCATGGATTTGTTAACAATCTGGTACGTGGGGAAACAGAATCACTCTATTAAATGTACACAGCTCCCTTACTTATGAAAATAGTCTACATTTATTGAAATAAGTATGTTCCTTTTCTTCACTATACAGGGAATGAAAGATTTCCCCTCTGCCCTCCTAGGTTCAGGAGCTGGATCTATGAAATATAATGACAACAGGCAGGTTCACAAGGGAAAAGGTACTGAAATGTATACATTTTTAATATTACACACATGGAACAAAGTGAAACACAGGAAAAAAGTGAAAGTTTAAAAAAGTGATGAGATTTGACAGCTTATGTAGAGATTCAAGTCTTAATAGGGAAAGGGAGGTGAATAAAACCAATTTAGAGGAGAGAAAGTGATTTTGAGAAAAGCTGGGAGGGCCCTTAGAATAATGGATGGGAGGTGTGTGATAGAGTCTGAATGTGGTGCAAAGGTCTAGTCCTTCCTGTGATGAGTTTGCCTTTCCCAGTTGATGAAACATGTGGGGAGGGAGTTGATGACTATTGAGTTCATTTTGGAGGATCTGTTATGAGGTAGATAAATTCAGAGGATGTCTATCCTTGTAGTTACTGTTTTCAAGTACCATCAGCTGCAAATAATTGATATAGCAAGGTAGCATATTTTGGGGTAGCATTTTCACCAGCAAAATAAAAGATCAGCAAAACACACACTTGCTTGTGTTTCCAGTTCAACCAGAACCTCAGTTGAAGCTAAATTTGGAGCCCTATCCATTGAATAAAATATTCATCAAATGATAGACTTTGATGCTGTATTAAAACTAAAGGAGAAAAATTGAACAAACGTGCATGGAAATATTCTGAGCGGTGCAAGTGTTCATCGTGAGTAAAGTGGCTGAGTTTCCATTTTTCTGGGAAAGCAGGAGGCAGGGACAGGTTGAGACCTTACAGGAAAGGTCCCCCTCTGAGTGTAATGAAGACGTAGACTAAGGCTCAA